TAGGGTAAATGTTCCACCCATTACAAAAACAGAGCAATAAGCAAACAATACTGAATACAAAGAAGCAAATGAGAAAATGTAGACCGTCACAAAAGACAGCCGTCTGCTGACTGAATGATGTGATATTTGATTCCAATGGACATATAGATTTTATCAATACGATCATATAGATATCCAAAAATTACTTCTAGCATCTTCTCTTGTCGAGAAATAACCAATTTTGTCAGGATCACTTTTCAAATTTTTTTGCATTTTAATTTCCCATTAGAAAGTCAGCTAACTTAGCGGTAAGTTTATTAATATGGTAACAAATGTATAAATGGAATGGTAAAGTGGCACCGGAAATGACATGGGTTCAAGGGTAACTTGGCACCAGTAAGCGGAGCGATAAGTAATTTGATTGGTCGAGACTTCGGAACACAATGACTCTCCTTCGAATTGAGGTAGAATGTTCAAACTTGGTGTATGCCTTGATGGAGTTCAAAGATAAGCCTTTTCTGCTTAGGGTAAGCAGAGATAAGCATTTTGATTGGTTGATGCTTTGGGACACAATAACTTTGGTTCTAATTAAGTGAGATTGATGAAACTTGGTGTATAGTTTCATCACGTCAATACCTTGACTAAGTTTGACTATTATGAGAGCATTTTTGACTCTGGGTAAGCAAATCGATAAGCAATTTGATTAGTCAAGACTTGGATTGGAACTCGACAACTTTGATTCTAATTGAGTGATAGTGGTGAAACTTCATGTATAGTTTTATTACATCAATACCTTAACAAGGTTTGATCCAGAAGTAGACACTTCAGTCTGATTGGTCGAGACTTTGGAACACAATTACTCTTCTTCTAATTGAGGTAGAATGTTCAAAATTTGTGGAGGTGACTATTATGTGAATGCCTTGACATAGTTCGTTCATGCACATTTTCCACTATGGCTAAGCAGAGATAAGCAATTTGCTTGGTTGAGACTATGAAACACCATAACTTTGGTTCTAATTGGGTGAGAGTGATGAAACTCTGAGTATAGATTCATTTTATCAATACATTGACTAATTTTGATGATGAGAATTTTCTGTTTAGACTAAGTAGCGATAAGCAATTTGATTGGTCAAGACTTGGAACATAACATTAACAACTCTGCTTTTAATTGAGGTATAGTTCATTAGGTGAATGTCTTGACTAAGTTCAATGATTAATATTCCCGCTAAAGCTAAGCAATTTCATTGGACGATGCTTTGGAATAAGATAAGATGGAAAGCAATGAAACTCAGTGTATAGTTTCACTACCAGGTACTTCAAAACCTGAGTTGATTTTGATCGTAGATAATCATTTTGATTGCTTGATACTTTTGAGAAAGATAAATATGTGCAATTAATTAAAGTGTCGATCTATTTATTTTCGGGACATCAGCCTCACTGTTGTTTTGTTTATATTTGGCTTGAAGCATTTGAGTCATCGATCAGTCCTAATCGATATTCATAATCCGCAGTCTTTCGTTTTATTTTTTCAATTGCTTTATCATTAACTATACTGTTAGGAGTGGCATCTTTTGGTTTATTACAAATAATATCTCTGAATCACTCGGCTTCGGCAAGAACATGATACTAGCAGTAGTTTCATTTTACTTTTACGGTAGCTTTTGGTTATTACAGTAGCTTTAGAAATTATGTTCGTTTTATTTTTGGTTTAGTACAAATAATATCTCTGAAACACTTGGCTTAGGCAAGAACGTGATACTAGCAGTAGTTTTTATTTTATTTTATTTTACTACTCCGCCCCACCGGTATCATCTTTTGATCCAGTCTCCACGCAGATGTATCAGTCTGTTCAGCTTTAATTACTCTCTAAGGGAGTGTTGCCGTACCCTTTTCCTGTTTCCAGTTTACTTTATCCAGGCACGGCGCGCATCTTTTTTAGATCCACTCTTCTAGGAACTCTCGAGCTTTTTTAGCCGCCTTCCTCTTCATTAGAATTGCCAATGGACAACCTCAACAAAAAGAGAAAAACTGCTGATGAACCAGATATATTTGTCTCTGCCACATACTTCAACAACAAGCGTCTTCCAGTAAACGCTATCCCGTATCTCTAAACTTACCGCAAGATTCGTACTGGTCTCTTTATATGCCAACAACACATCTACTTTTTAGATCTATGCATCGCTTTTTACCTAAAGGATTAAGCCAGAATAAATTTACTCCGACTTTTCCCTCCAAACAACTTATACTCTGGAAAGCCGCACATCAAGAATTCTGAAAAGTACTAACTAGAATCCTCACCAATTATTGGAAGGAAGATAAATCAACACACACTTGGATTTTATTTAGAAAACCTATTTTCCTCCCTAGGAAGAATAAATATCACCAATACGTACCAGATCGAGGAATATCTACTTAAACCTAATCAACACCCTAATTCTACAGCATTCATTTTATACGCTAGATTCTAGATAAACTGTTTTTCGTACAACCTCGCCTTTAAGCCTCAACTACCTTATCTTTACTTAGTATATCTTTCTCCCGTGGCCCTCTAACCACAGAAACTATATTTCATAGAGGTGACCAACAACCCTTCTATTTAACCTGAATACGATCCACCACTCATCATTATCACCGATTTCACGATCCAAAAGAATTGAACCACCAAGCTATGTAATTACTCTTTTTAACTCTATACTCCGCTAACCACGCAACCTTCAGTCCGATCGTAGCAAACTCCCTGCGTATTCTAGTCTTTTATTCCTCCTCTGCATGTTTGAAGACTAGGAGGTTCCGGATGACCGAGACTATACGTATCAACTTATCCCATCAATACAGAAGAAGATGAAACAACCACCGCCTCAGCCATCCTGGAGACCATTATCTACTATTCACTTTAAATCGCTCCATAATTATCATCAATCTTTAAACATTCTTAGTAATTAACTCTTTTTTTTTATCATTTTAAACAATTTTTTGTAATCATTTTAACAATTTAATCAAATTTGTACATACATGTAATCTTATACTTCAATTAAATTTAATGATCCTTTCTTTCTTTTTTTTAACAATCTTTATACTGTACATAAATAAATTTTAAAATCCTGTGACGTCATCACCATTATTGTATATAAGGCGTCACAGGATCATCATAATTTAATCTTGATAAAGGGTATTGAACCCGAAACGTCGACCCATTAAACAATCTTCTACTTCTACAAGTCTGTTGTGTATTCTGTTGAGCGGGGATTCTTTAATTTTAGTTTCATTTCACTTTTACAAGGTTCTTAAAACAATTGTTGAGTTGCCTAAAGCGTATGTTGCTAAATTCAATTTCTTGTTCCAGCTTTCTGTTATGTTTCATAAAAAAGTAGTCTTGATTATCCAGGCCTGTCAATCAGTCGGAGAATGGTCGGTAGACTGGTTAAGCGACACTAATTATTTATGGATGGTTAAATGGTCATAGCTTATTAAGAACAACATGACGGTTTATTTAGTGATTATAAATGCGCCAAACTGATTTAAGGCTTGGTATATATATAAATATTGTGGTGTAATTGTCAAGATATTTGGAGATATTTATTTATGGTGGGACACCCTATCATAAAGAGGATGAATCGTAGAGATTAGATTTCTCAGAGGATCCTAGCACACTGATCAGCAGTGAATATTCGCTAAGCCGCTACAAACACTTATAAGGATGACATCGATGCGACTTAATGAGCCACAAATATTAACTTTTTTTCTTCTGTCAAATGAAATTCTAAAACATTTTTTTCATTTATTAGAAAAATAAATAAAGACGTTTGAATTGTTTGTAGGTAAAAATCATTTCCTATTTAGTGTAAATGGGTATTAAAATAAGTAAAATTCACCATTTAGCCCGAATCAGTAACGTCTTATGTAAACAATGCATGCACTATTGAATCAATGATTGACGCCGCGTGATGTGACGTCACGTGTCGAAACAGTCATCTGTTACAGAGACATTAGAAGATCTCTGTGAAACAGATTGGGATCCTAGATCCTTATCAAATTTGCTCAACATTCAAATTTTCCTTTCGGATAAGCTGCAGTTGAGACAAAGTTGCTGTGTGGGCGTATTTCGTGCTTTCGTTGATTCATGTTTGGATTCAATCTGCTGTTTAATCCATGGTCGTGAACTTCATCTTTTTCAACAAAATTAATGGAAATTATTCTCTTTGTAATGAATAAAAACATATCAAATATCAAAGGGTTTGCTATTTACAAGTCATGTATAGCTCTTGTTACCAACGATCTTGTGTTATCTGATTTTGTCTGGTGCTTTTTTTCACTAGAAATCTTTGTATTCCCACAGTAACTGGTGGTATAAGCGTCGATATGGAAGTCATTCATAGTGAAATCAATGACAAGATGTCAGTTTCTCCCGATGTCATGTCACATGATTTCGTTTAGCTCATTTATGTAATTGTATAACCGCTAGGTTCTTCAATAACTAATAAATCTGGAATGGTTCTTCAATCTTTTAATTACTGGAACTTATATCTTACAAATGGCAATAATTCAATACATACAATGTATGCCTACAGCACAGTGGATGACCGACGTAGCTGCTACTAAGTCGGGTGACCTAATGACTTGCCTATATTCTAACTATAATTGGATAAGCTCACGTGTTGACATCAAAACATATACTATACAGGATTATCACTAGAGACATTAACATAAATAAACAATAATGGATTAAATACTTAACTAATTAGCTTCTATCCTGATTTATATTAACCATGAGAATTCAAATACTATCTAAAACTGACTGGTCATTATGCTTGGTCATAATTGCGTAAATTCATAAATAAATTTTCAATTTTATTTGTTACTAAATAAATAATTCTGAAATGCGTTAAACAGTGAACTTAGTAAATGATAAAACTGAACTTTTTCTATAGCATTCTGCTTTGATATTTTTGTTTTTTCCAGAATGCTTGTCAATGTTATTATGGGTATGTTATTAGTTACATGTCTACTTATTTATTTTGAAGATGGTGTAGCTAGAGCTGGAGCTTCAGGATTTAATGAATTAAGAAATGCTGTGTTTGCTAAAGTAGCTCAGAGTTCAATAAGAAGAGTGGCTAACAACGTTTTCCTTCATCTTCATTCACTTGATCTAAACTTTCATCTTTCACGACAAACAGGAGCTTTATCCAAAGCTATTGATAGAGGCACAAGGTAATATATTACAAACATAGAATAGAAATGTAATTTAGGATTAGACGGGGGGGGGGTGGGTGAAAATTCAGGTTCCAGAATGTACAAATTGGTGATTAAAGTAAAAAATGCATTAAATATGCTGCGATGCTGAAATATATGGTAATGAAGACAGCCATATGCCATATGGAAAATTTTTTGTCCTCTGTGCCATGAAAGGAAAACAATCTTAAGACAAATAACAAAGACAATATTGTTGGTGTGAAAATGTCAATTTATTACATGATGACTGAAGCACAGGCTTTGAGAGTAATTAAGTATAATTCGATTGCATTAAATATATGTGATTATTAAAAACTATCAAGCAATTACCCAAAGAACCTCATGCTTCTGAGGATCAAATAATCGTTGGGCTGAATCGAAACCCATCTAACCGGCCAGACACAGCTCTAAAGGCATCCCGATTGAGCTGTCGTGCCCAACAAGAGACAAATCACACCAACAAAAGTAATGAACAATGAGCAAAATAATTGTAACATAACTTTTACAATCAGACAAGATCTAGGTTACATAGGATAATATTACAAAAATGAAAGATGGGCGGCATGTAAACATGACGATATCGTAAGATTGACATGTTATAAGGTAAATGAAACATAGGCAGAGGCGTAGCCGTGAAATATATATTGGGGGGGTCCGCAACCCTAACCCCTAACCCTAACTCATTTTTAAAACCCCTAAAAAATATAAACAAACACCATGTGGCCATGCTGTCTACCAAGACACTGCGTGCAAAAGCATTATGGTTACGTTGCTGGCTGAGCGGGCGATAAATATTTGGTTTAGGCGATAATGTTTTGGGGTACCTACATGCGATTCACTCTGATAAGTGGCAGAAAAAAATTAACAAAATATTACTGACAGGCTAACTAGACACAATTTTATGGAACACAGTTACTTTTCACTTCAAACATGTTTCCAGGATGATTCATCAGACAAGATCCTTAGATAATAATACAACAAAATCAACAATCAATGATGGACGGCATGCAAAAATGACAATATCGTAAGATTGACATGTTATAAGGTAAATGAAACATAGGTAGAAACATCAGACAAGATCCAAATATAATAATACAACAAAATCGACAATCAAAGATGGACGGCATGCAAAAATGACAAAGCGTAAGATTGACATGTTATAAGGTAAACGAAACATAGGATAGAAACATCAGACAAGATCCATATATAATAATACAACGAAATCGACAATCAAATATGGACGGCATGTAAAAATGGCAATATCGTACTTGTAAGGTGGACATGGTATAAGGTAAATGACACATCGATAGAAACAACTGACTAGACATGCAACCTATATGCTAAATAGGTGAAACTAAACATTGCAAACTGCTACATAAAAATATTAAAAAGCAATGGATTATAATTGACACGGTATAACTTAGTATAAGGTAAATAGAGGATAAAATAATAGGAGACAAGACGTACATATATGCTCAATTAATCTGTACAAAAACACTACTCGAATGCAAACGGATATGGAATTGGAACACTAAATTAAAATAACAAAGATATGGCTAAACTGCATGCAACATTTGACTGGGTTGACAATAATGATATTTTCTGGTGTTTGTACACTGTTACGTTAACTACCATGACATACAATTTGAATACATGATATACAACAATGCAAATAAAATGGTAAACAATAATCCAAAGTACATGTACATGTAAACCAATTTATACAAGTCCCAACCCTGGAATGATATCCCACAAACAAGAGGATCAGCCACATGAGTACCAACAATGGCCAAGTGCAACTGAGAGAGAAACGCGAAGAGAAAGCCAGTCTAAACCCTGTGCTTGTAAATTTCTCTAGGTAACAGACTCTAAATTTTTGATAGAGCCAGTCAAATTTTGTGCTTGACATAGACCCTACCCGTTTAGCCAGCCTAACATTTAAAGAGAACTCTTACAAAAGTAAATTAGGTAATCTAATATATGACTGCACGGCATTAAATTTCCAACGCCCCATGACCTTAATAACATCTTCCGAATAACCTTTCATGAAAGCTGAGGTGGCGGCACCTATCCGAAAGGAATGGAGCTTAAATCTGGTTGTGTCAAGACCCAAAAAGGCAATTAGTCTGTTAAGTCGAGAATTGACAAAAGCATAAGATACCTGAGAATTGTTTGAAAATTGAAATAACAGAGCAACTGCATGAGGACAACTTCGCATGTATGCTAATACAAGGCAAGCTGCACAAGATATCGATTTAACAGTATGGCAATGGCAGCGGAGAATGAGTGTGAGAGGCGTTTGATCAGATTTGTGTTTGAAATTTTCCATCAAAATCTCCATATGGGACAACTGTTTAGCCGAAAATAAAACGTTGTGCGAACTCCCCTCAGATTTGAAAACTAATTCCCCCATACGAAAAAACCCAGCAAAAGCGAGTGAGAAAATTGCTTTCAACAAAATCTTTTGGGTTCTTATGGAAATAACAATTGGAACTGCGGATAATAACTGTTCCAGAATAGTGCTAGTAATAGGAAGGCGTGATGGAGAGACTGAGCAACCATTGAAGCTGTTTTAAGGACACCTTTTTTCTATTTAAACTATCTTGAAGTGCCTGGCGAATTTTTACCACTTTGTCTTGTTTGAAAATTGAAATAACAGAGCAACTGCATGAGGACAACTTCGCATGTATGCTAATACAAGGCAAGCTGCACAAGATATCGATTTAACAGTATGGCAATGGCAGCGGAGAATGAGTGTGAGAGGCGTTTGATCAGATTTGTGTTTGAAATTTTCCATCAAAATCTCCATATGGGACAACTGTTTAGCCGAAAATAAAACGTTGTGCGAACTCCCCTCAGATTTGAAAACTAATTCCCCCATACGAAAAAACCCAGCAAAAGCGAGTGAGAAAATTGCTTTCAACAAAATCTTTTGGGTTCTTATGGAAATAACAATTGGAACTGCGGATAATAACTGTTCCAGAATAGTGCTAGTAATAGGAAGGCGTGATGGAGAGACTGAGCAACCATTGAAGCTGTTTTAAGGACACCTTTTTTCTATTTAAACTATCTTGAAGTGCCTGGCGAATTTTTACCACTTTGTCTTCGGGTAAACGAAAAATCATATCATGAGAATCAACCTCTATTCCATAAATGGTAATTCTATTTGTTGGTAGCACAGTCTTAGATGCTTTAATGGGAACTGCCAAATGGCTAGCGACATTAAGGAAATTTTGTAAGGATTCAAGGCACAATGTAGAATTTTTGGGGCCTATAAAAAAGCAATCATCTATCATGTGGCTAAGGTGGGCCCCCATAATGAGACTCCATACCCCATTGTAAGGCTGAACTAAACCGTTCAAATGTTTGGCAGCTCATACTTAAACCCATCGGAAGGCACATATCCGCAAAATAGTACATTGACCCCCCAATTTGAACTGTAAAACCTAAAAGTTCATAGTCATTAGGGTGAATGGGAAGGAGGCGATATGCATTTTCGATATCAGCTTTTGCCATCAACGCACCCCTCCCCATTTTCTTAACTAATTTAACAACGTTATCAATGGAGTCATAAGAGACTAAAGTAAATGTTTCTGCTATGCCTGAATTAATGGAATTCCCTAGGGGGAATGAGAGATCATGAATTAACCGGAATGTTCCTTTTTCCTGCTTGGGAATAACCCGTAACGGTGAACACCGTAAGTTATTGAAAGGTGGATTCAAAAAGGGGCCCATAACTCTGCCTGCTGTTAATTCATCATTTATTTTCTTAATTAAAATATCCAGGTTCTTAGTGCAGGATGAATGATTCCTTGAAACACTAAAAGACCTAACATCCGAGAAAGGGATGCGGAAACCAGGGATCTTAATCGGCTGTTTTTTGTCGGCTTTAGCCGATTGATCTTTAATCTAGCCGATTGGTAAAACAATGAACCGGCCACTAAGGTATCACAAATCAATCTACTTTCGGCCGATTTACAATGAATTTATTATCAGGCCGATTGGTAAAACAATGAACCGGCCACTATGGTATCATAAATCAATCTACTTTAGGCCGATTACAAAGAGTTAATTATTACTCGTCGATTAAGAAACCCATCAAAGAGTCAATCATTACAATGAATACCTTCGGTTTATTTCATAAATAAACAACTTAATTGAGGTAATCATGCCAAGTACTCGAACACCTCGCAGAATGACACCAGGAAACGTAAATGAGATTTAACTGAATATAGTGATGGTGGCATTGACCTTGAACTTCAAGCATGCCCGTCGTCAATGGAAATTCCAAAAGCCGGAGTTCCTCCCACGTCCAATAAAGGTCAACCAAATTATCGGCAATAAAAGACCATATCAATCTGACGATTATACCTGACGATGGCAGAACAAAGAGTTTAATTCCCATATCTATAGAAATTATTTCAAACTGGGCGTTAATCCGAAATGCGTATTTCATAGCAAAAAGAAACATTGCCATCGAAAAATATGAACAATAATTGAACGATTTGACAGAACAGCAGGTACATGAAATGACAAAAAAATTATGTCGTGATTTTAATTGTTGTGGTGAATTTATTTCTTTAATAACCAGTGAAATTGAGAAAGAGATCCTCTCAGATATCCGAACTATTCCTGCTGCATTAAATCCCGACAATTGTATACTGGTAACACTAAAAATAAAACAAAACCGAATCACGACAATTGGCCACGTGACCTTTCGCACGTACAGCATATTTGATTATTTCCGAGTTCCGACTGTATACGGAAACTGATTTGTGCTACTTTGTTATTTATATACTTTGTTATTTTTATATATATTAACATGTGCTGACGAATAATATAATTTAAAGTAGGAATATGCAATGCAAGTTGCTGAAATAATAATATGACTATAAATGTCGATATTATAGCGATGTATGAATACAAGTATGCAATTATAAAGGTCTTGTTTATTCAGAGTTTCAGCTATTATTATCCCG